CGGATGCCCTTCCAGCCGCAACCCATCTCTGGGGAACATCCACACACACTCATACACTACAGACAATTTAGCCTACCCAATTCACCTTTACCGCATGTCTTTGGACTGTGGGGGAAACCGGAGCACCCGGAGGAAACCCAGGCGAAGGCAGGGAGAACATGCAAACTCCACACAGAAACGCCAACTGAGCCGAGGTTCGAATCAGCGACCCAGCAAGGTTCTTGCTGTGAGGTGGCAGCACTACATACTGCGCCACTGCCTCGCCGAGCCATTGTCAGTAATCCAAAATTCAAGAAGCAGGCTGTGTGTGTGTGTGTGTGTGTGTACACATGATAAAGAGTACAGAATATGCCAAGCACTTTTTACTGCAGATTGTTACTAATGCTGTAGTGGAATTTCCCTGTAAAAAATATATAATTGTTTTTATGTTTATTAAAGATAATAATCACAAACTGCTGTATCTTAAATTATTATTATTATTTTCTATAAATTGTCAGTCTTCCTTTTGTACGTGTGCATGTGCATACACAGATGTTCTGTAGGTGAGACATCTGACATCTAAAAAACACAGATCTGCCAGATTTTTACTTGAACCGAGAAAGAGGGACTTTCAACTGACTGTATTGCTTTGTGTTGGTGTTTTACTGAAGATGAAGTTGGTATTTATTTCTCAGGATTTGTCAAATAAAAAAAATCAGAAGTTTACACGAGTGCTGCACTTATTAATGTCAAATTTATTTTCATTAATTTGTGTCCTGATAGATAAGTAATAAATAAAACTGGCCGTTTGTGCCACACTATTAATATAATATTAAGTGTATTTAATATTCTAATTAAATGAAATAGAATAACAATGTTGTATGTGACTCTTAATAACCAAACAAAATCATTATAAAAAATATTTTCTACAGTGCAGAAATGGACACAGAAGGGTTGTTAGAAAGTGGTATTAAAGTATTTACCCTGCATTTACAAATAATACAAAAATAAAACCAAGAAGACTGCATTTTTATTCAGTAATATTAGATTATGAAATTATTTGTAACTCATTAATTAAATTGTAGAACAGATATTAAAACCACCCAGTAGGTAGCAGCAGAGCACTGTCTTCATTCAAATGGAGTAACTGAACAAAACTTTAATGGATTAGTAAATGATAAATAATGAAATTGATTGCATTCATAGATGACACACCATGTAATATGAAAAAAAAATAATATAAAATTTTACTCATGCTGGAACATTTACATATAACAGATCATATACATGTATATTCATAGCAGCATCAAAGTAAAAATAAATCCATTATATTATGAAATAATCTGATTTAATAAGTAAAAAGGTTACAAAGGTATACTTCCCTTAATAAATAATAGCTTATCCCTGCTCTTAATAAAACTCAAAGCAGTGCAGTATTGAAAGAAAAACAATTGGACACATGCCCAATATTTTTAATGGTCTTAAATCAAAGTATAATTTTAATATTTTCAATTGTAAATTTTCCAGAGAACTCTTCCATTCAAAGGGAAAAAATTAAACTGAACTAAAAACACTGCATTTTTATTTATTTATTTATTTTTCTCTCTCCATCTTTATTTGTTGTAAATATGCAATATGAATTTGCATTTTGAAGCAAAATAATCAACCATTAAAATATCAGAACTAAAATCACTGCGTTTCTGAAGTGACACCATTGTGAAAAGAGTCTTTTGAGTCTTTTGTAATATTTTTTAGCAGGAAAAATACCATTATGAAATTCACATAACTGTTAACTTAATTAACATTCAAAACACTCAGCAAGAATGTCCACTTTTGTGAATTTCTGTGTTTATTAACAATAAAAACAATATTTAAGAAATTGTACATGCATTTCCTGTTTACTGACACCACGTAGTGGGCATTCACGCTATTACGTTTCCACTAACCAATGAAATTACAGATGGGCGTGGCTGAATGTGCAGCCCCGCCCCACATTCATCCCCGCCCAGATCTGCGAGCTGCAGACAGGGGCTTCTCCTCTCCCCTGAGCACAGTGGTTCAAGACAGAGTTCAGGCGGTAGCGTCGGACCCGGCTGGAGCCAAGTGGTGCTCGCTGCAGAGCCATTTGAGGAGAGCTGAGCTCCAGCGAGGGGGAGCTTAAGCTTGAGCTCCATCTTTTTTGCACTTCTTCTACGAGTGATGTCACTGGGGGTAGGGTTAGGGGCGGGGTTGGTGTACGCATTAAAACAGCTTACAGGAGGAGGAGCGACAGCTCATGCTCCCCCTCGCTGGAGCTCAGCTCTCCTCAAATGGCTCTGCAGCGAGCACCCTCTCGCTGGAGCGGCGCTTCCCTCTCTTCCTCGTCCTTTGCCAAGCCTCTTTTGCTCCAGTAGAGCCGCGCGCGCCTGTGGAAGGCCTGCCCACCCGTCGCTAGAAGAGCCCGTTCTGACGCCGAAAACTACTCGAAAGGTCCCCCCTCAAAGCGGTTTGACCAGGTGAAGGAACACGCAAAGAGAGCCCCCGGTGGCTTTTGTCCGCCGAGCGAGTGTGCCCTGTGGAATGTCCGAATTTTATTTTTACCGGCCTGCCGCTGTTACTGACGGAACAAATGCAGACCGTGTGAAAGGTCATCATTTTATCTGCCATTAAGTAAGCGAACGCTTCGGCTCGGATCAGAGGTAACTTTGTTTCAAGAACTGCAATCTTTTGCAGACGTCTGTGGCGTTTTGGGCAGAGGGACGGTTCTAAACCAATCTGAACCAGAGGCAATTTCGCAGCCAGCCGTCGGTGGTTTCCCGTCCCAGGAATGTAAGGTGCTTGCAGCGGGAGGTTGTTTCGTTGGCGCTTCCGCTTTCGTCAGTGAAGTTCTTTTGCGGAACGTTTGTAGATCCCGTCGTCTTCTTCAAGCTATGTCGTTTGAGCACTGTGCTGATAGGCTGACGTAAGAAAACAGGACACAAAACATACAAGGCAAGAGTGCAAAGCACGGAGCTCTAGGCAAAGGCGGTCCGAACCGCAGCAAAGCAGGAGGTCGACATGTCCAAATAGACCAAATCAGAAACTAAGCAGAGAAAAACGGCATCTGTAGAGAAAGAAAACAGATGGAGGAAAAGAAAGAAAGAACAGGAGGATCCCCTCCCCTCCCCCCATAGAGGGTCTGTTATGCCCAGATCGAGTGCTTCCGGTGGAATCCATGTGTTGGCAGCCCCAACTGATGACAATACACAAAGCAAGCATCTGGAGGAAGCTCAAACTCTTCATGCGTTGCCACAGTTACTAGCGAGTGGTTTGCAGGCACAGGCACGTCTGCTGCAAGTACAGCGCCGTCAGGAGACAGGGGTTGCTGGCCCATTCCCCATGCTCGGTGGCTGGGCATCACCGCCCTGGAGTACGGCCGATAGAAAACGGCGGCTGCCATTTGCGCCGCCCGGCAACTCATACTTACCTGGCAGGGGAGATACCATGATCAAGAAGGTGGTTCACCCAGGGCGAGGCTTGACCATTGCACTCCGGCCACGCTGACCCCTGCGAATGGCGATCGACCTGTACGGCGTGCAAATTTCATTTTAGAAGTGTAGGCAATTACAGCACCTGATTGGTTGATTGGGTTTCAGCAAACCATGAATGAACTGCTTTTGCGAGTGAACAATCCCCTGGTGATGTCGTCAAAACAAATAGTAGTAACTGTCAGGACATGTTGCATATGCTGTGGTGCTTTTGAAATTAAAGCAAACAACCCTAACTGTGCATAAAAGTGAACCATGAAATGATCATTTAATAAGTTTGTTATTAAAATTTAAGTTGCTTTTTAAATTAAATTACTTTTAATGGTTCACTCAAAATCCCCATAAACCTCAACAAATGGAATATATAAATTAATATATGTAATATCAGTTCTATAAATAAAATATTCATATGTAATAGTAGTAATTAAAGGTCAAACTTTTTTATAAATGCATAATGTTTAGTAGAATTATTCTTAAATATGTTTGTATAACAAAAAATGGAAATATTTAGCATCTGTTCTATTATATTATACAGATATACCATCATATTTCTAATAGCAGTAATACAATTACATAAAATAAATAATAATCCCTTACTTTGTTACTGGACAAGTATTTTAATTATAGTAACTAACTACTTTGTAACAAATTACGACAGTTCTATTTTGAGAGTGTAATGTCATAGGATATTTGAATAATGTACTGTTTTTGTATTTGTGTGTTGCAGGTGGAGCTTGATGTTGGAATGTGGTTTAAGGATGAATCCACTGGCATCCCATCTGACGGCAACAGGATAAGCTGTCATCGACTCCAGAGCTGGACTTGGAAAAACACAGAGGAGCAATAGACTTTTCAGAGCGCCTGTACCAGAGGTTACTATTAAAATGGACTGCATATTATTGTCATAGACTTAGATAATGATTCTAAATTAAATTCAAAATCAGAAGATTTAGTCAATTTTTAAAAACCAATGAAGTCCTTCCAACACATACAAAAAGAAACACGAGATTGTATTTTATTATCCAAATTTATTAAAAGTGCAAAAGAAAAGTTCTAAACATATTGTTAGACCTGCCTGACATAAAAATGTATACTATAGATATACTTTGTACATAATAAAAAACACATTACTATTACAATCATTAGTTTTAATATTACTGATAGCAGTTATAGATATAAGAATGTATTTGTATACATTAAAAAATACTGCCAGGTCAAGCATTTAGATATAAAAAAATAAAAAAATAAATAAATCCTCTTAAAAAAAAACAAAGCTAACAATTAAAGTATATAAAGCAACATTAGTTATCACAAAGTAATAATTAAAGTACTTTAAATAACATAATTATATATTTTTTATTACTGAAATTTTATAATAAATAAATAATAAATAAAATAATTATATTAAAGTACTTTAAATAACATTATGATAATATATACTTAATAAACATAAATAAATACATACATAAATAAATAAATAAATAAAAACAAGAAAACAATTAAAGATATACTGTAAACTGTAAAACAATAAACTGTTAATATAACATACATTTCTGGAACAAAACAGTGTTACAACAATCAACAAATTAGTGTAAAACACTGTAAACTTAAACAGTCAAATGTTAATATAAAATTTGTTTCTACAACAATCAACAAATTAGTGCAAACTGTAAAAAAAGCTTAACTTTTGTAAATTAACAATAAGTTACAATCTACAAATTAGTATAAAACGATGTATACTCTGAAACAGTCAACTGTTAATATTGCGAACATTTGTGCAACAATAAGTGTAAAATACAGTCAACAAATTAGTGCAAACCGTAAAAACCTGTAAACTTTTAAAAAATCAACTGTTATTATAACATATCCATTTTTGCAACAATAATACTGTTACAAGTCAAGAACTATGAACCGCAACATGGATAGAGGTCCAGTTAGACAGACTCGGAGGCCTGAGACTGAGAGCCCAAGAGAACGTCCACAGCCCTTTTAAAGTCTTCAAAACAGTCAAACGTCTGCCCAGCAAGGTTTGTGGACGTGGAGGCTTTGGAGCTCTCACAGTAGCTCTTCTTTCTGTATTTCTTGTGGCCTTGAGTTGGTTGGCCACACAGAGCACAGATGTAAACCTTCACTGAGGTTGGATGTCCAGAGCCACTGAGTTCTGCCTTTTTCCTCTTGTAGACTGTTGATCTTGAGGGCAACAGTAGCGGAGTGGATGCCTGCGGCAAGGAAACAGCGGGAGGTGCAGTCAGCGGAGTGTGTGTGTGCCGGAGTCCTGCGGGCATCGAATGGGCCGGCGCAGGAACTGGTTGAGCAAGAGCAGAGGGAGGGACAGGTAAGATTTGCGGGAGCCTTTGCTTCAACTTTCGGGTGCCGGCCAGAGAAGTGGTGATGGGATACTGCACTGCAGGCCGGCTGGTATGGGGTCTTTCCTCTGGAAGCTCCTCAGCGGGGGGCTGGCTGGTGCTGGAGACGCTCTGGTGACGACGGAGGACAGACAGACCCTGGTCGGTGACGTTTGTGGCTGACAGTGCCTCCTGCCTCCTGATGAACTCGCTCACGCACTTTGAATTTATTTTCAGGATGGGAATCCCAAGTTTGCTGAGCTGATCATCGTCCACCGTCACTCTCTGCTGCACACGCTGGTACAGTTTAGTGATCTGCTGTTTCAGCGGTGACCCTTTAGCTTTTCCTCCAACACCAGGATGAAGCCACAGCTGTTTGACCAGGCAGTACATCAGCCGGTTCTTTCTGGAGTCCACCAAGTGTGCGGCTGAGTACCGCTTGCTGAACTTGAGCTTCTGCACCAGGGACGCCTCAGTCGGATCTCCACTGGTGCGGCCAAACAGAGCATTGCCCCAGCGTGCAGAGTAGAGGCTGTCGAATTGTTGGATGCTGCGGTCATGGAGGTCAAGCTTGTTCCAGGCGCTGATGACCTTTTGCCTGGTCGACTCATTTAGGGCAAGTTTTCCTTCCTCCAGGGCGATCTCAACAAGGACTTTACACAGATCCTCTACGTGCTGGTACCCAGGCAGATGATTGGGACCGCACACGTCCTCCACACAGGGGTCAAATTCAGCAGCCACTGCCTGATCGGTGAGGCACAGACGGTTCCTCAGAGGAGTCAGGCTGTCCCTCTCGCGGTCTGAGGAGTAGCCCACATCATCATCTTCCTCCTGCAGCTCTTCCTCTTCCTCTGCCACCCCAGCCGGAACATCTTCGTCCTCATCCTCATCTGCCTGAAGTGTCTCTCTAGTCTGAGCGTAATGATCAGGAGCACTGAAGGGCTCTGAGGACTGGGAAAACAGGTACTCCAGACCAATGCGCTCATCACCAGCAGGAACCGGAGGCCTGTAGTTTGCCTCCTCCACCTCCCCAAATAGCTCCTGGCACCTTTGGTTTAGGCGATGGACCAGAGGAGACATGTACACCATATGTTTCCTCCCTTTCCGCCCTTGGACGCTGGCTGACTCCCTGTTAGAGTTCCAGCGTGCGATGCCAGCCAGCAGATAGACTTGAAACGGGACAGCAGCACAGTGGGGTCCCGGGATCATGTCAGGCAGAAAGGAATGAAAGCCCTCCAGACTGTTGCTTCCTCTCACCGTACTGTACCGCGCAAGACGAACACCGTAACGGGTCACATACTTGGTGATGGTGTACATGTTCCTCCCTGGTGGATCCTGGATGCATTCAAGGTGCTTCTGCTGGTTCTCCCAGACGTGGTCGATGGCTGCAGAGTCCTTAAACAGATGCACCTGGTTCTCATCCATCCCTGCGGCTCCCTTCAGGAGATCAATGGCGCACTGCACGCGCGCACATGTTTCCTGTGCACCAACTGTGATCCTCCTGACGTAATGGCTGAGGTCATATTTACTGACACGCAGCTCGATGATCTGGCTGTCAGTCAGGGAGGCATAGTTGGTTGGGTGACCGGCACGTATCGCCTGTACCAGAAGAGCCATGTCGTCTTTGTTGTAGGCAAAGACGGCAGCAGAGAGGGCAGACTTGAACAGGGCATACTTTGGATGATGATCTGTCCGTAGGGCTGCATCGAATCGATGGATCCAATGAAAGATGTCCAGCCGTACCAGCATGCCCCTGTCCGTCCAGTCACTGAAGAGCTGCTCAACCGAGGACACAGCGTGGACGCGACAGCAGCCACGATCCACATACATGAGTTCGGGCGGTGCCTCGTCAGCTCTCCTGTACCTCTCCATGAGGCCTTCAGCCATCGGCCTCATCTTCTCCAATGACTCCTCACAGGTGAGAACAGATATGAGGATCTGCCCCTGCTCGTTGGCCACATTGGTACACCACTCTGCAGTGCCTTTTCCATCGCCAGAGAGTTTCTTGCAGATCTGATAACAAATACAACACAAACAGATTTAAACATTTTTGTATTTTGTATTTTTTTTTTCTGCACCAGACCAAGAAAGTAATAGTCACTAATATTCAGAAATGAATTAATAATGTGTTTTTGCATTGCAGCTCATTAGATTTCGGATGCAGAGCATGCAAGAGGAAACCTGAAGTGAAGAAAACGACACACAAAGACGTAGGTAAGTATGATTAATAATCTGGTGCGGGTGATGGTGACAAACAGGATTTTAAAGCACTAGTAACCCATATTAGATATTAATTTATTGATAATTATGTATTATTAAACAATTATTAATACTTTACTTATCAATTGTCATTAATAATTAATGATTAAAATGTCCCATGATGCAAAAGTGGACAATAATATTTTAAGGATAAAATCTCTCTGATAAAGGATTTCCTGAAAGAATAACAGTAAAAAGGTTTAGCAATACGTTTACAAACTGACTTTTTTTCCATTGTGTTAAATTTACCTTCTTGGTGGAGTCGTACTTCAGGACTTGCCCAAATGTGGACATAATCTGAGTACGGTAGTCCTCGATGTTATCTGCCTCTGAGATAAGGAACGCCTTTCTCATCAGTCTGGCAGATGGCGGCTCTCTCCGTGCTGGTGGTCGCTGGAACTGCTGGCACAAACTCCCTAAAAGCAGAGAAAACAGACACTTTGCTGCTTAATCTTTGAATAAATGCTCAAAAGGATAGGAATTTAAAAATAATAATTCTTTCATCATTTGCTGATCCTTTTAATGATTGTAAACCATTATGGGTTTCTTTTAAACACTAAACAAGTTATTTAGAAAAATGTCAGAAACCTGTAACCATTGACTTCCATAGTATTTGTTTGTTTTTTTTACAATGGAAGTCAATGGTTACAGGATTTCGGCTTTCCTCAGAATATCTTCTTTTGTGTTTAACAAAAGAGAGAAACTCATAAAGGTTTAAAACTACTCATTTCTGGGTGAACTATCCCTTAAAGAAAACAATTAACTCTGACTTACGAGTGATCTTCCCAGGTTTGTTGTACTGGCTGAGAAGAGTGGTGTACAAGTCCTTTCTCTGCAGATAGTCCTCGCAGTGGCTCTCCTGCACCTGTCTCCAAACTTTCACCATGGTGTTTCCCTCAGTGCGATCCCTCATCAGGCGGATCACCTGCTTGTCCACGCCACGCCTAGAATCATAGGAGCAACACAATCATTAGATGATGGTGAGTCTTAACTTTTATTAGACTCTGAATAATTTTACAATGATTTGTATTCTGCTAGAGACTCACCGTAGCGTCAAGACAGCAGGAAACACCGCTCTGTGAGCTGGACTGAGCTGATTAAGGATGCACTGATCCCATGACAGGAAACGACCAATAGTATGCTCTTCCGACTCCTTTGCAGCCTTTCTACAGGCGTTGCATGCCAGGACCTCAGTCAGCATGGAGTACCAGCCAGACATGTGGCAGATCTGTCTTACCGTGGATGAATACCCACAACGGTAGAGAAAAGCCTTCTGATTGGTGCGTGCTGGGCAGTCAGACCTTGGGCACCGAAGACTGTAACGCCACACACCGACTGGTCTCCAGAAAAAAACGGAGCTGTGAAAAAAGGAGTCTGCTGAGGGGACTTTTCCTTCCACCACTCCAGGAAATTCTGGAGGGTGAAACCACATCCGGTCATCCTTCAGGACTTTCCTCCACTTTCTGTTTCCATGTTTGTCTTTATAAGACATGGCCCTCTGAAAGAGTCCCCTTTCAGCATCCTCCTTAAGCCACAGTATGTCTGCACTGGGCAGCCCATGAAGACCAGACTCCCACATCTTGTGCCAACCCTCAAATAACACCTGGTAATTAGAATAACCGAGACAAAACTGTTAAAATCAATTAAAGTTTTAGTATTAAAGTATTAATTTTTCTTATCTTCACAACCACAGAGTTCTTTGACAGTTACCTCAGAATGTGCTGGGTCACTGTGTGTTGACCCACCAGATGACCTTCTAGTTTGAACGTCAGAAGCTGACACAGAAGCTGATGCAGGAGCCGATGAAGAAGCCGAGGCAGGAACTGACGAGGCTGATGCAGGAGCCGATGAAGAAGCCGAGGCAGGAACTGACGAGGCTGATGCAGGAGCCGAAGAAGAAGCCAAGGCAGGAACTGACGAGGCTGATGCAGGAGCCGAAGAAGAAGCCAAGGCAGGAACTGACGAGGCTGATGCAGGAGCCGATGAAGAAGCCAAGGCAGGAACTGACGAGGCTGATGCAGGAGCCGATGAAGAAGCAGAGGCAGGAAATGACGAGGCTGATGCAGGAGCCGATGAAGAAGCCAAGGCAGGAACTGACGAGGCTGATACAGGAGCCGATGAAGAAGCAGAGGCAGGAAATGACGAGGCTGATGCAGGAGCCGATGAAGAAGACTGGCCAGGAACTGATGAGGCTGATGCAGGAGCCTCCAATAAAGAAGTCGACGCAGGAGCCTTCAACAAAGTAAGTATAAGAGGTAAAACCTTTTTCATTGACATATTCATACTTTTTGCACGGCCTCCCCATCTATGCTCACAAAACTGTATTCAGGAGTATATACACCACCTAATTGTGATGTACAAATGATAAACTTACAGCAGACAGTGGAGAGTCTGAGTGTGGCTTCTGTGACAGATCTTCACAGGAACGTTTTCTTCTCTTTGCTTCCCCGGCTCCTAAATGAGCACAGTTGTGATTATCAGAAGACAGTGTCTTAGTGTGATGAATTTTATTTATTAATGCACACAGTTGAAGCCGGAATTATAAGCCCCCCTGTTAAATTTGAGTTTATTTTTCACAATTTATGTGTAATGGAGAGAGGACTTGTTCAGGCACATTTCTAAACATAATAGTTCTAATAACTTAATTTCTTATAATTTATCTTTACCATGATGACAGTATATAATATTGGGTCATACTTTACAATAAGGTTTCATTAGATAATGTATTTACTAACATGTACTAATTATGAACAATGCTTGTACAACATTTTTAATCATAGTTCAACATGTACTAATGCTTTATTAAAATAATATTTAATGCTTAGTTGATGGACTGTGAGTTGGCATGGATGACTGTAACACGAACAAATACTGTATTAAGTGTATTGTTCATTGCTTGTTTATGGTAGTAAATGCTTTGACATTAACTAATACAAACTTATTGTAAAGTGTCACCCTTTAAGGTAACACTTTAGAGTAATAGTTCATTAGTTAATATTAGTTAATGCATTTACTAACATGAACAAGAAATTTAATACATTAATTACAGTATTAATTTATCTTTGTTAATGATGTTATTTAAGTTAAATAACGTTAGTTCAATAATGCACTGTGCAACAAGCACAACTTTGGATTTTAATAATGCATTAATGTTGAACTGTAATTAATAAATGCTGCACAAGATTGGCGACACTTAGTGTTAGTAAATTGATTAACTAAAGGACTATTATACTGAAGTGTTACCATATTCAGCGTGAGAAAGTAAAGGCTTAACTAGCTTAACACTGTTTGTTCTGTAGCCAATAGAAAAACATAAATAATAAAACGAATAAAACTTTCTTCAGAAGATAATATACTATCCTAAGTACAGTGAACATGTCCTTGCTCCATTACCTTAAATAAATATTTCACAGGAGCGCCCTCAGCTGTAGTTCATGCTACAACAGTATGAATAAATGTTAATAAGTGACATTCATTATGTGATATACCTTGTCTTTCAGGGAAGCTGAGTGGTTTCTTCGGCAGACCACCTTTGTCCTCAACTGCTAAAGGAGGAAAAAAAAACACAAGATGGGCAAAAGTCAGTGTCAAAGCAGCAAGAAGACAATCTCATCAGCACAGTGTTTTGATATTGTGTGTCATTGATTTATTTATTAATAAAAGATTTATGCTATGGTACATGAACAATTAAAGACAATAATAAAAGGGATATACACCTTGTGCTTCGAAAGCACTGAGGGCTTCCACCAGTAGCGCATCATCCGCCCATCCACCATCACCTCTAGATCCCGACGAGCTGGAGCTGGCGGCCGCTGCAGGAAGAGGCCTGTCTTCTAGGGGTTTCTGTGAGTTACAGGTTGTAGTTTGCATGAAATGTTGCCAGCATGATATATATTTTTTTAATAAAGTCACATTTAAAAGAAATAAATAAAACCTACCTCTTTGTTGAGAATGTACTGCCGGAACCGCTTCAGTGTCTTGACGCTGATGTCCTCCTCCTTCATCGTCAGCCACTGCCGCACAGAGCAGAACGCCTCCTGTGCCATCTTCTTTTCTTGGGCACTACCAGCTTGTGGATCCGCCTGCAGGGTCTTGTGCAGGCTGTACCACTGCCACATCTCCAGGAACGTGAAGGATCTGAAGCGGCCCTGACCGTAGATGGCACTGTCGACATTGACCTCGAGGTGGCAGGAAACCTGTGGAAACAGTTGCACATACTGTAACAGAAGGTCCTTTATATACTCACCTGGGCCCTCTTTTCTTCCTTGATGGCGACGCTCCTTGATGTGTAGATCCAGCACACTGAAATTTCAAAAAGATAATTAATTTGTGTAAAAACAGCTTATACAAATGTATAGCAACATACTTACTATTTAATGTAGCCAACGTCATTCTCCACCAGCCATTTAAAACTTTGTCCATTGTACTTGCCAAAGTTTAGAATGAGCTGGCCGAGATACTGGACCTCAGATGGCGCACAAGTAATGTGCTGGCATCTTTTTTTAGCTAAGACATAAAATAACATTAATGCAAATAACAGTCTGCAGTGTACGCATATGACAGAAACGCATAAATCAGATATTACCTTCCTCACAAGCAGTTTTTTTGTCCTGGCTAGTGTTCCGCTCGAAGCACCTGTTGCGAGAGGCCAGGGTCTTGGCGTCCTTCGATGCTTTAAGAAAGCACTGTTGTCTGTCCTGTGGCACACTGGTGTCAACGATGCTCAGGGTGGGCAACAGTGGATCCATGTCTAATTCACCTGTAAGAAGTATTCTTATAAACATCACAAATATAGAGAGGGAATATGGTCTTAGCTCTGAGCTCATGATAAAGTATTAAAAAAACATTTTGTGTGTTAAGTCTTTTTTTTTTTCATTTTTACATGTTTGATAATTAACAAATAAATGAAATATCATCAAAATAAATTATCTGACAAGGGTTAACAATGCTTACAGAGATGATGCATTTGACAGTGGCAATGAAAACATGAATTATCATATCAATTGCTCTGTTATACATTTTTTTTCAAATGCTTACAGTTGTATTTTGTGTTTTTTAAGGGGCAGCTATTAATATCAACCTCCATATGGCTGATATAAGGTAAGGTAAAATACATTCTAAGCATGTTAAATACATACTCTCATTAATATGATATCATTTACACATATAATACTTGAAATAACATAACAAATCATATTTAATGTATGCACATTTTCATTTTAAAGCTTATAGCAGTAATTGCTGAATATGTTTTTGTCCCAGGCCTTGAGAATCAGTGATATATTATTCAGTCTATGGCAATAACGATTTTACTATATTCTTATGATAACAAATACAGGTATTGGGCATATGTTTTGTCCCAGTTAAGATCTTAAGATGTTCTTCACTTCTCATAGTTACAACTAATGATAACAATCGCCATGGTAACATATATTGCTACATATAAAGGGATATTTATTTATCAGCATGTTTGTTTCTATATTGTAATGAAACATCTGTGTATACTGAGCTATCAAACCGACGCGATCGTCGAAAATAATACAAAAGCTAAACTTTTTCAGGTTTTGTGCAGCCAAATATTCATTTAAATAATATCACAGTATAAAAACAACTTACCACACGAAATATCTTGGAAAGGTGAACTTTCTGACGGCACAGCGTCACCAGCACAGACCAAACACTTCACAAAGAGTGAGAGATTTCAAACGTGATGTGATCTTAGCAATATAAAAATAGCTTACCACACAAAATCTCTGTAATGGGTGAACGTCTGACGGCGCAGCGTCACACACACAGACAAAATACTGCACACACAGTAAAATATATCAAACGTGATGTGAGCAAAACATACTGTTTATCAGAACAGGATAAAAATAACCTACCACTATAAATCACTACAACAGGTGTACTTTATGACGGCGCAGCCTCACGAACACAGACAAAATGCTGCACAAAGAGTGAAATATTTCAAACGTGATGTGACCAAAACATACTGTGCATCAATATAACAGTATAAAAATAACTTATCACACAAAATCTCTATGACAGGTGTACTTTTTGAAGGCGCAGCCTCACGAATACTGCACAAAGAGTGAGATATTTCAAACGTGCCTTGACCAAAACATACTGTGCATCAATATAACAGTATAAAAATAACTTACCACACGAAATCACTTCAGCATATGATTTTATCTCGACAGCAGATGAACTCTCTGACCCAATAAATTGTGAGCGTCCAGAGTGAGAGAAACTTTAGAAAATCCTCAGCGCTGATTGGCCGTGATTTGAAACTTTAGACAATGCAGCCCTCCGATTGGCCCAGGGTCTAATCAAACTGTAGACAATCGCGGCTTTTCATTGGACAAGAGTCTACAGTCTACAGTTTACATTGCACGTTCAGTGGGCAGATGTCTGCGAACTCCCCAAATGTGGGAATCTCGACTGCATAATTTCTGGTAGTGGGGGACTGCGTTCGCGCTCTCCCCTGAGCACAGTGGTTCAAGACAGAGTGCCGGCGGTAGCGTCGGACCCGGCTGGAGCGTCGCTTCCCTCTCTTCCTCGCCCTTTGCCAAGCCTCTTTCGCTCCAGTAGAGCTGCGCGCGCCTGTGGAAGGCCTGCCCACCCGTCGCTAGAAGAGTCTGTTCAGACGCCGAAAACTACTCGAAAGGTCCCCCCTCAAAGCGGTTTGACCAGGTGAAGGAACACGCAAAGGGAGCCCCCGGTGGCTTTTGTCCGCCAAGCGAGTGTGCCCTGTGGAACGTCAGGATTTTATTTGCCGGCCTGCCGCTGTTACTGACGGAACGAATGCAGACCGTGTGAAAGGTCATCATTTTATCAGCCGTTAAGTAAGCGAACGCTTCTGCTCGGATCAGAGGTAACTTTGTTTCAAGAACTGCAATCTTTTGCAGACGTCTGTGGCGTTTTGGGCAGAGGGACGGTTCTAAACCAATCTGAACCAGAGGCAATTTCGCAGCCAGCCGTCGGTGGTTTCCCGTCTCAGGAATGTAAGGTGCCTGCAGCGGGAGGTTGTTCCGTTAGCGCTTCCGCTTTCGTCAGTGAAGTTCTTTTGCGGAACGTTTGTAGATCCCGTCGTGTTCTTCAAGCTATGTCGTTTGAGCACTGTGCTGATAGGCTGACGTAAGAAAACAGGACACGAAATATACAAGGCGAGAGTGCAAAGCACGGAGCTCTAGGCAAAGGCGGTCCGAACCGCAGCAAAGCCGGAGGTCGACATGTCCAAATAGACCAAATCAGAAACTAAGCAGAGAAAAACGGCATCTGTAGCGAAAGAAAACAGATGGAGGAAAAGCAAGAAAGAACAGGAGGATCCCCTCCCCCCATAGAGGGTCTGTTATCCCCAGATCGAGTGCGTCCAGTGGAATCCATGTGTTGGCAGCCCCAACTGATGACAAAACACGAAGCAAGCATCTGGAGGAAGCTCAAACCCTTCATGCGTTGCCACAGTTACTAGCGAGTGGTTTGCAAGCACAGGCACGTCTGCTGCAAGTACAGCGCCGTCAGGAGACAGGGGTTGCTGGCCCATTCCCCACGCTCGGTGGCTGGGCATCACCGCCCTGGAGTACGGCCGATAGAAAACGGCAGCTGCCATTTGCGCCGCCCGGCAACTCATACTTACCTGGCAGGGGAGATACCATGATCAAGAAGGTGGTTCACCCAGGGCGAGGCTTGGCCATTGCACTCCGGCCACGCTGACCCCTGCGAATTCCCCAAATGTGGGAATCTCGACTGCATAATTTCTGGTAGTGGGGGACTGCGTTCGCGCTCTCCCCTGAGCACAGTGGTTCAAGACAGAGTGCCGGCGGTAGCGTCGGACCCGGCTGGAGCGTCGCTTCCCTCTCTTCCTCGCCCTTTGCCAAGCCTCTTTCGCTCCAGTAGAGCTGCGCGCGCCTGTGGAAGGCCTGCCCACCCGTCGCTAGAAGAGTCTGTTCAGACGCCGAAAACTACTCGAAAGGTCCCCCCTCAAAGCGGTTTGACCAGGTGAAGGAACACGCAAAGGGAGCCCCCGGTGGCTTTTGTCCGCCAAGCGAGTGTGCCCTGTGGAACGTCAGGATTTTATTTGCCGGCCTGCCGCTGTTACTGACGGAACGAATGCAGACCGTGTGAAAGGTCATCATTTTATCAGCCGTTAAGTAAGCGAACGCTTCTGCTCGGATCAGAGGTAACTTTGTTTCAAGAACTGCAATCTTTTGCAGACGTCTGTGGCGTTTTGGGCAGAGGGACGGTTCTAAACCAATCTGAACCAGAGGCAATTTCGCAGCCAGCCGTCGGTGGTTTCCCGTCTCAGGAATGTAAGGTGCCTGCAGCGGGAGGTTGTTCCGTTAGCGCTTCCGCTTTCGTCAGTGAAGTTCTTTTGCGGAACGTTTGTAGATCCCGTCGTGTTCTTCAAGCTATGTCGTTTGAGCACTGTGCTGATAGGCTGACGTAAGAAAACAGGACACGAAATATACAAGGCGAGAGTGCAAAGCACGGAGCTCTAGGCAAAGGCGGTCCGAACCGCAGCAAAGCCGGAGGTCGACATGTCCAAATAGACCAAATCAGAAACTAAGCAGAGAAAAACGGCATCTGTAGCGAAAGAAAACAGATGGAGGAAAAGCAAGAAAGAACAGGAGGATCCCCTCCCCCCATAGAGGGTCTGTTATCCCCAGATCGAGTGCGTCCAGTGGAATCCATGTGTTGGCAGCCCCAACTGATGACAAAACACGAAGCAAGCATCTGGAGGAAGCTCAAACCCTTCATGCGTTGCCACAGTTACTAGCGAGTGGTTTGCAAGCACAGGCACGTCTGCTGCAAGTACAGCGCCGTCAGGAGACAGGGGTTGCTGGCCCATTCCCCACGCTCGGTGGCTGGGCATCACCGCCCTGGAGTACGGCCGATAGAAAACGGCAGCTGCCATTTGCGCCGCCCGGCAACTCATACTTACCTGGCAGGGGAGATACCATGATCAAGAAGGTGGTTCACCCAGGGCGAGGCTTGGCCATTGCACTCCGGCCACGCTGACCCCTGCGAATTCCCCAAATGTGGGAATCTCGACTGCATAATTTCTGGTAGTGGGGGACTGCGTTCGCGCTCTCCCCTGAGCACAGTGGTTCAAGACAGAGTGCCGGCGGTAGCGTCGGACCCGGCTGGAGCGTCGCTTCCCTCTCTTCCTCGCCCTTTGCCAAGCCTCTTTCGCTCCAGTAGAGCTGCGCGCGCCTGTGGAAGGCCTGCCCACCCGTCGCTAGAAGAGTCTGTTCAGACGCCGAAAACTACTCGAAAGGTCCCCCCTCAAAGCGGTTTGACCAGGTGAAGGAACACGCAAAGGGAGCCCCCGGTGGCTTTTGTCCGCCAAGCGAGTGTGCCCTGTGGAACGTCAGGATTTTATTTGCCGGCCTGCCGCTGTTACTGACGGAACGAATGCAGACCGTGTGAAAGGTCATCATTTTATCAGCCGTTAAGTAAGCGAACGCTTCTGCTCGGATCAGAGGTAACTTTGTTTCAAGAACTGCAATCTTTTGCAGACGTCTGTGGCGTTTTGGGCAGAGGGACGGTTCTAAACCAATCTGAACCAGAGGCAATTTCGCAGCCAGCCGTCGGTGGTTTCCCGTCTCAGGAATGTAAGGTGCCTGCAGCGGGAGGTTGTTCCGTTAGCGCTTCCGCTTTCGTCAGTGAAGTTCTTTTGCGGAACGTTTGTAGATCCCGTCGTGTTCTTCAAGCTATGTCGTTTGAGCACTGTGCTGATAGGCTGACGTAAGAAAACAGGACACGAAATATACAAGGCGAGAGTGCAAAGCACGGAGCTCTAGGCAAAGGCGGTCCGAACCGCAGCAAAGCCGGAGGTCGACATGTCCAAATAGACCAAATCAGAAACTAAGCAGAGAAAAACGGCATCTGTAGCGAAAGAAAACAGATGGAGGAAAAGCAAGAAAGAACAGGAGGATCCCCTCCCCCCATAGAGGGTCTGTTATCCCCAGATCGAGTGCGTCCAGTGGAATCCATGTGTTGGCAGCCCCAACTGATGACAAAACACGAAGCAAGCATCTGGAGGAAGCTCAAACCCTTCATGCGTTGCCACAGTTACTAGCGAGTGGTTTGCAAGCACAGGCACGTCTGCTGCAAGTACAGCGCCGTCAGGAGACAGGGGTTGCTGGCCCATTCCCCACGCTCGGTGGCTGGGCATCACCGCCCTGGAGTACGGCCGATAGAAAACGGCAGCTGCCATTTGCGCCGCCCGGCAACTCATACTTACCTGGCAGGGGAGATACCATGATCAAGAAGGTGGTTCACCCAGGGCGAGGCTTGGCCATTGCACTCCGGCCACGCTGACCCCTGCGAATTCCCCAAATGTGGGAATCTCGACTGCATAATTTCTGGTAGTGGGGGACTGCGTTCGCGCTCTCCCCTGAGCACAGTGGTTCAAGACAGAGTGCCGGCGGTAGCGTCGGACCCGGCTGGAGCGTCGCTTCCCTCTCTTCCTCGCCCTTTGCCAAGCCTCTTTCGCTCCAGTAGAGCTGCGCGCGCCTGTGGAAGGCCTGCCCACCCGTCGCTAGAAGAGTCTGTTCAGACGCCGAAAACTACTCGAAAGGTCCCCCCTCAAAGCGGTTTGACCAGGTGAAGGAACACGCAAAGGGAGCCCCCGGTGGCTTTTGTCCGCCAAGCGAGTGTGCCCTGTGGAACGTCAGGATTTTATTTGCCGGCCTGCCGCTGTTACTGACGGAACGAATGCAGACCGTGTGAAAGGTCATCATTTTATCAGCCGTTAAGTAAGCGAACGCTTCTGCTCGGATCAGAGGTAACTTTGTTTCAAGAACTGCAATCTTTTGCAGACGTCTGTGGCGTTTTGGGCAGAGGGACGGTTCTAAACCAATCTGAACCAGAGGCAATTTCGCAGCCAGCCGTCGGTGGTTTCCCGTCTCAGGAATGTAAGGTGCCTGCAGCGGGAGGTTGTTCCGTTAGCGCTTCCGCTTTCGTCAGTGAAGTTCTTTTGCGGAACGTTTGTAGATCCCGTCGTGTTCTTCAAGCTATGTCGTTTGAGCACTGTGCTGATAGGCTGACGTAAGAAAACAGGACACGAAATATACAAGGCGAGAGTGCAAAGCACGGAGCTCTAGGCAAAGGCGGTCCGAACCGCAGCAAAGCCGGAGGTCGACATGTCCAAATAGACCAAATCAGAAACTAAGCAGAGAAAAACGGCATCTGTAGCGAAAGAAAACAGATGGAGGAAAAGCAAGAAAGAACAGGAGGATCCCCTCCCCCCATAGAGGGTCTGTTATCCCCAGATCGAGTGCGTCCAGTGGAATCCATGTGTTGGCAGCCCCAACTGATGACAAAACACGAAGCAAGCATCTGGAGGAAGCTCAAACCCTTCATGCGTTGCCACAGTTACTAGCGAGTGGTTTGCAAGCACAGGCACGTCTGCTGCAAGTACAGCGCCGTCAGGAGACAGGGGTTGCTGGCCCATTCCCCACGCTCGGTGGCTGGGCATCACCGCCCTGGAGTACGGCCGATAG